GCGAAAATATTCAGTGTGGATTGGTGGAAGTATTCTTGCATCATTATCAACATTTCAACAAATGTGGATATCGAAACAAGAATATGACGAAAGTGGACCATCAATTGTGCATAGAAAATGTTTTTAACTTTTTTGCTTTTATTTTGTGTTACGTGCGTATGTATGTTTTAAAAAAGTTGGTTTTTTAAAAGTTGGTGTCGTCTCCTTGCCTCTTTTGTATAGCTATACGTGTTTTTTTCTTTCCGTGGATGTCTGATATTGAATATTTTTAAAGAGATTTATTCTAAATATATTTCTTGGTTTATATGAGATTATCTTTGGTTTGGAAATACAGCAGGATGATGTTTCTGTGATTCGAAGTGCATAAGCGAACATTCAGTTCTATTAGAAATTCGACTGAAACGCAATTCATAGCTGTAAGCGGACTTTAACTAGAATAATTACTAAGTCCGATTTTTCAAAACTGATATAGATACAGTTGAAGGATAGTGAGAATTGGTGATGATAATTAATAGCGGATATGTACTCCAGTTACATTTGAAGACGGTTACATTGAAGAGAAAAATACGGAACCCGAATATATATCGAATTTCCAGGAGGTAATCCTATTATGCTGGATCGTATGAGAGACCGAACTTCTACGGCGTTTTTAGCACTTCTTGGGAGAAGAGCACTCGAAAAACTTTTCCGTTTAACTCTCAACAATTTACATCTTTACTAGAAGAAGAAGAATACAAAAATAAAATAGCACACAATATCTATAGATTCAGATAACAGAAAATAGTCGATATGAATTACAACAAAGTGATCGTCTGTTTTTATATGTCAAAATCTTGATATCGCAGCGTGCATAAGTTCTACCTAGATTGAAAAAAAGATAGATAGTAAATATATATTAGAATTTAGCAATATGAGATTGAGACTCACTGGTATAGGAAACACAATAGTACTGTTTTTTTCGCTAGCAATGGTTGTTAAAGTTTGTAAATAGCGCAGCTGTAAGGCGGTCGGTGATTGCATAATAACATCCGCTGCTTCTTTCAAAGCTCTAACAAGACAATTTGAATTTTACATAAACTGAATTTCACTCTACTCTTAATTAAAACATACCGCGATGCTTTTTGTTCTCCTTCTGCAGCAATCACTTTTGCTCGAGCCTCTCTCGCCGCTTCAGCTTCTGCGGCCATAGCACTAGAAGTATACCATAAAGTGTTGATTTGAAAGAAGAAAGATATGAAGATAAAATATCTACCGTTGAAGTTGAACTGGTAGTCTCACATCTTTTCTACAACAAAAATTGGAATTTGCTCTTTATCATAATTAATCTGAATATTGACTTACACTTCTACTCGTTCTACGCGTACACCCCAACATTCTGTGCCCTCATCAAGAGCTGCCTGAAAAGAAAAGAATAAATGCTAAATCTAAGTATCCCTTTCTAATTCAGTGGATATACCTGCATAGTTTGAGCAATTGATTCTCTATCAGACAAAATTTCTTGCAATGACTTTGTACCTAAACTATAATGCATGGTATAAGCATGTCGCATGATGGACATTTGAATTACGATATCTTACACATTTCGAAGACTGGTCGCTGCGAGTAATTGAGTAGATTTTGGTGCATCTAAATTGTTGATAAAGTAAGATAAAATGTCTATCACATTGTATATTTTAATCTAACTGACCTTCCACATTAGTTATCGATATAACGGGATCAAATACTCGAAAATAGACAACAGCATCAACTAAAACAAAATAAAGAATGAGTAATTTAAGCAGATATTACTTTGGCAAATGTTAGACTTGCCCGCAACTGTAACAGAATCTTTTGTTAAAATCTAAAAATGAGAAGATACTCGGTTTGTGAAGTATAAGAGAAGAGATCGTTGAATAACATACTTCTTGGGGGGGCACTAAAAAGGAGAAACACGATTTGTTTTATTTTAGTGAAGAAAACGGTGTTGTAGACGACCTACCATCAAATGTTACTGTGCGCAGATCCACTTTGGTATATGTATCAACGCATGGCACAATCAAAAATAATCCTGGACCCTTGGCACCCCCAAGTATCCTACCCAAACGAAACATGACGGCACGTTCATACTCTTGAACAACCTTAATACATCATGAAAAGTAAGAATAGACTAATTCAGTTGATTATTTGACTATACTATACCGATGTACATACTTTTAAACATACTGTTAAGGAAAATGGAAATGTTAAACAAAGAAGCACATATGATAAACCAAGTAGAATGTAACCACATAATCCTAGAGCATAATCTTGTTGAGAATCTAAATTTTTAAATAAAAAAAGCAAAATAATTTCTAATATAATTCATTTTTATTGTTTCGTTTTATATATAATCCAATCGTTTTTCAATTACACGCCTGTTTTTACAATAAGAAACGATTAAGTTGGATTGCTTATGTTATCAATGCTAACCTTAATCGCTTAACAACATCTATTTATTATCAATATACGTTTTCTTTTTGACATGTATATGATTGCTCCGCAAGATATGTTATTTCATCAAAAAAACATCATCATCATCTATTGTTTTATGTTTTCTTTCATTGTCAAACTCTTTAACAGATGAGATATATCTACCAATTTCTTTTATATTTGACAAGGTGCTACTACATACCGTTTGAAATATTCATTATGTTTTTCTTCTTTACAAATAAAATAACCGAACTCGTTTTCTTTTTGTAACAAGGTCAAACATACTAATCATTGAGAATTTATTATCTGAGTTATGATCAAAGAAAAATATTTTTCAATAATTCTCCAGCTGTGGTTAAGTTAATGAACTAGACGCCAATAATTAACTGTTAAAGAGCATTTAACATTTCTTCGGTTATTTTTAAAAATACGTGAATGTCTATTACAATCCTTATTAGCGTAGAGAATGACATAAATAGATGTGTATATGAATATCTTGTTGAGATATAAAAAAATTCATTATACACAGTCATGGCTTTTGGCTGTTTTCTGATGAAAGCTATCACCCATATACAAATAACAACTCGACTAACAATGATCCATACCAAATCGTTTACAACAAATGATGATTAAAGAGTTGTCTCAATCATAGACTATAACTCTCTTCCTTATTTAAACAGTATAAATTTAAATTAATTTTTTAGAATTTTTTGTAATATGACTAAGGTATTCTGCTGTTAATTAACTTAATGATGTATTAGATTTCATTTATGAAATATTGTCTTATGCACTAAAATTTCGATCAGAATTATTTGAATTAAATTAATATACATCGTTTTATTTACACGACATACAACGAACCAACTAGCGAGTAAGAAAATAAATTGAACAAACAAAGAGAGTATGTTTATTTATTAGACAAATATTTTTTCTCGCAATTATTTGAGCCTCATACTCTCTATGTATAAATAAAAATTAATAAATTAAGTATGTACAATTCCTTATGTTTTTTCCCAACTTACTTATCATCATAATTGTTTTGTTGAACAAAAATATTCTAGGATTAATAAATGAATAAATGAATGCTACTGTAGCACAATTTCCAGATTTTGTTTCTTACTCTTATCAATTTTTTTTCCCTACTCTTTTATTTTTTTTTTTTTCATATTGTTATTACCACATGTAATTAGATACACCATATAGGAGAAGAAAAAAAAGTATGGAACTGCTGGGAGATGAGCCCTAGTTTTTTATGTTCATATGTCTCAAGCAATTATAAATTATATAAAACATGACTTATCGTTCGTTCATTGACGAATAGTAATTGTGACAGTTCTAAATGTTTGGATAATAACGACTATTAACAGCTGCATATACTTTTTAATATAGTACATAATACATCATTATTCAATGACGATAGTCTTATGTATATTCCAAATTTTAAGCAAAGAGAGTTGAATGAAGAAGAAGATTTTCTGTTCTATTTGAAGTATTTCATACATAAACAGTTAAAAATCAAAATTTCATTTAAAACATTTCATCTTATTGTCTTTATTTGTTAATTACGTCAATGATGAGAGAAATACCTAAAAACTTTCAATGAGTACCTCATATTTGGATATGAAAAATAATCAGTGATATCACCATATCAAAATTGTGTATTAAACGTTTTATGTTTCAATGTTCTATGTAATAAAAAAGATCATCAATCGGTATGCTCTCTAAGTAATAACAAAAATCGGATGATACTATATTGATCGAAATAGTTGTACGTATTTGTTATCTGAAATGTGCGATCATTTTTCACTAAATATTTTCTATTTTCTCGTGATACTCTATTTACGTTTATCAATATAGACATTTTTCGAGAATTAATTCATGTCTAGAGAGAGATATATATATTTATTGACTAAAATCCCTTTAGAACTGTTTGAAAAAAGAAATATGTAATTGATCTACGTTTGTTCATCATACACAAAATCTCATGATGCCAATAGTTTTTCGTAAAAAAAAATATATATATAAGAAGAAGATAAAAATAAAGAAGAGAACTCAATCGGAAGGAACTAATTTGTTTGAGCAGAGTTTATATTCTTTTTCGTTGAATAGTTCTCATAGATAGAACATGACATTTTTCAACTCAAACGCGTTCATCATTCCGATTAGAAAAGAGGGTGCGAAGAAAATTTTTTTTCGCGGATCAAAAGTAATAATAGAATATTTTTTATGGAAGAGAGAGAAAGAAATGAAGAAGAAGAAGAAGAAGAAGAAGAAGAAAAAAAAAAGATACAAGTTCAAAAGAATAAATCAATGTATTTATTTGCATCAAAAACTTTTTCTCTTAATCCTACACGCATCTATAGACAAGTGTAGATAATTTCCTGTGAACAATATTTATTAAATCGAATACAAGAGAATTTTTTTCTTCCATGTTTAATGAACAATTCGAGTTATTGACAAAAATGAAAATATATTATACATATAGAAAAAAAACCTATATACCTCTATATAAAAGTAAAATTATTTAATAAATTCCATATTTTTGACCTTCTTTTCTCACATCACTGATTCTTATCCTTTATACTAGATTAATTTGATTAGAACAAACAATTAGACAGAGATAAAAAAAAAAAAAAATTTATTTATCTTTGTTAATTATACACAAGATGCTTAATTCATAAACCGTAATTAATTTCACTTCATATACACTTTTTTTTTTGTTTACTTTCAAGGAAAAAGACATCACTAAAAGAGAGAAAAAAAAAAAAAGCGTATAATATATCACAGATAGTCTGTCTAAGTCAATGGCAATAATTCACTCCTTCTAATAAATACATATGTACTTTTTCCATTATTGACACTAGTACTTGACGCCACTAACAAAATCAAAGAAAAACCAAACATTTTTTCTGACTATAAAAAGAAATAAAATTTCTGAAATAAAAATATTCATATACTACTAAATAGTTGAGGTAGATAGTAGTTAAAAAAAGAAGAAGAAAAAAATGTTATAAAACAAAAATTATTTTTAACTAAAAATTTGGAGTAGTGTATTAAGTATCTAAGCACACACACACACTTGATAATGATCGTAAAAATTTTACTTAATAGAAGAATGTTCAATCATACAAAACATTTAAAATGTAAAACACGTTCAATTTTATACGAGTATTTTAAACTGTTCTTAATCTATCATTTCTTCTTTTTTTTGCAGTTGTTATTTGACAGAATTATGAAATGTGTAAATAAAAAAAAAAAAAAAAACTAATAAGAAAGAAAAACAAATATATTTTTTGGATATGTATGACTTTTTTTAAATTCAATGAATCAAATCATCATTTTAGACACAATCAAGAAAAAAACGAATTAATGCTTAAATTTTTTGATTTCTTTTGCTAAAAAGATAATTCTATAGATAACGCCTTTTTTTATGAAAATTATTTGTATCTGAAATACGATTATTATCAAAATGATAAATGAAAACTACTGATGGAAACTTCAGACAAAAACACGTTTTATTTTTATGTTTTTATATATATATATACACAAAATGAGTTGATTTAAAGATGATACTAGAGCTCAAGAATATGAAACACGCATTCTCCATGTATAAAAAATATTGTTGAGTGCATTTTAATTAAAGTCTGAGGAAAATTAGCCTTTTCACAGCAACACCTTTAAAAGCAAGCGTAAAATTTTAGTTTTTTCTAGTAATCATATAGATTATTTTTTTTCTTTTTCTGCATTTTAGTAGATAAACATTTTGACCATTTCCTTCGAAAAATCCTGTACACGCTTTTGTTGTGAGAAAAACTGATAGATGAATTTTCTTCACAGATAAATATAGGAGATAAAGTTAAACTTTTTTGAAATTTGATATGAGCTGAAGTCGAGAGAATGCATAATGAGATCTGAATACACTTTATTGCAATATTACAATTGAACTTGTTATTTAGACTAAGAATGGATTTTAAAGTCAATTTTTATTTAAAATGAAACTTATATACCTTTCTACCACAAAAAAGTATAAATAGTATTTTGACAAAGATAACATATAACATTAACATACCTGTTCCACGATATCCATGTAAAGAATGATTAGTAGAATGCGGTCGTTTTCGTCGTCTTTCATCATCTAATTTCCATCCGAGTTTTGTACTACGCATGATCAACTACCACTAATCATCATCAATGTCCCTTTCACAGTCATATCTCTATACTCTGATTATTATTATTCCTATTATTGTGTGATTATTATTGTAATAAAGAAAAAAAAAAAAAAAAAGAGAAAAAATTTTTTTTTGCAATAATACAGCGAGAAAGGAAGAGATAAACTATCGCAGAACTACTAATAGAGAGAGAAAGAGAGAGAGAGAGAGCTAGATCCCGACAAACAATGAAAGTTTTTCTTTTTTTCGGCACTAGATTTTTTTTTTTTTTTGTTGCTCGTTGTTGTTTTTTGTTTTATTCCAAGGGGGATGGACAAGGATATGTTATTTGGAAAAATTTGTCGCCAAGTCCCAGAGACACATACAATGTTTCATATCAATTTATCTATCTATCTACGGCTCCTATAAAAAAATAAAGGAAATTACATAAACGGTGAAAACAGAAAAAAGAGGCACAACGACGTCGTGCATTTCATAAAAATCATTTCTATTTTTCTATATAATTTGTCGCTTTTCTTGCATATATTTCCTCCAAACTTTATTCATTAGGGACTAATAATGAAACATTCCTTCCCTATTTTTTTGAATGATGAACTATATCGAAGTGATTTCCTTTTCTTTCTATTAAATTGCTGATATATTTATCACAAAAATGACATTGAGAATTCAGTTTTTAAATGTCATACATAAAAACTCAGCTTGGTAATATAATTCAAAAACATTGATAACACAGTGGGATTAAATGTGATAGTATTTTTCGTATGGTATCAATTACCAATATCATAGAACTCCTAGAGTTAAACAAAATATTGTGTAAACAAGCAAAAATAGACTGCTGAGCTATGAATAAAAGAAATTGATCATGTTCAACTTTGACAGATTCTTCTTGAATTGAAGAGGAGAAAAATGTACATAAATCTTTTTAATTGAACAAACAAAATCTCCAGGGAGAAGACAGCAGATTTGTCTTTTTTTTTTTTCCAATAAAGTATTTTGAGCAAGACTAAGCCGAACGCTCTACATCTCGTTGAACAAATACAACAAAAAATGAAAAAAATTTTTTTTTTTGTCTCTTTCTTTGTCTCTCTCTGGTATCCTCCGATAAGTAGAGAACATGGATATCAAACATAGAATAAGTTCAAAATGGATCAAAATGTTAACTTATTGTATAGAGTTGATAGACAATATAGACATCAAAGCATAGAGAAATTTTAGATATTCTTTTCAAAAATTTTTTCGTCATTTCGAGTTATATTCTACATTATAAGAAATTACGCAGCATAAATCTTCTTCTGTTTTTTGTATTGGACACGCGTTATTTCACATTAATTATCGATAATTATTTTTTTGTCAACATATGGTTCGTATCTATACTAGAAAAATTATTATTGATATGATATATAGACAAACATAAATGATATGTTTGTCTCCAGAAACAAAGATGTAAAACACACGGTAAAATTATCAAAATTATATCAAATTATAAGTTAGCAAGCGAAGGAAATTCCTAAGCTAAGTTATTTGAAGAACAATGTTCAACACTATATTTTTTTCTCATAAGATCTGAACAAACAAGCAAAAAGTCAATTACAAAGATGCTATATTATTTTCATAATAGAAAGAAGCAAAGTCAAGCCAGATGAGGAAATCCCACACTGAGAAATATAATGATATAAACTTATCACAATTAAACCAGCTATATGACGTTCTATGCTGTAAATGTAGTTGTATATCTTGTTAACATCAAGTTTGAAGGCAGAAACTCATAAATTGATAATTCTATCAGAAGAAAAGCACCACAATTTATCTTAGGTGGTCTTTGAAGAAAAGATTATTCAGTACGAATTGCATGGATTAACTAATTTTTAATTCAGCTAAGAAATGAAAAGTATATTAATCGCTAATTGGTTCACAACCTCTATTATACATTTTCTCATCCACTTCGGTTCTGAATTCATTTTTAAAATTAATCTTTTTCATGTTCACGCTCAATGCTGTCATCCATCCTCACATATAAAACGACTTGATAAAGCGATGAACCAAGAAAATGTCAAAATTATTAACAATGCATCGACTGGCGTGAGTTAATCATGCTGAAATGCTGATATGTACATGAAGGAAAAGAAACTCGCATGAGTCTACTGGGATGCATTTTCTTAAGTATTTTGGGTATTGAATTTTCGAGTGAAACATATTTACCAGTAGGTATTCTCTAAAAATAATTCTCAGAAAAAAGTTCCCGTGTGACACATACGGTTCGGTATTAAATCACTGTGTTTGCGTTATATGTATTAAAAATCTCTAGTACTCCTTCGAAAATATTACTTTTCTCAAGCACATATACTACAAATGAAGCGTCGAAACAAACATCAGAAAAACTTTAAATAAATATAAATAGTCAATATTTAAAAAAATATTGAGAAGATGTGAAAATTTTCTTGGATACTCTTGCAGGAAGTGGTGCGCCAAATGTCTCACCCTCACCCTCAAATGTCTTACCGTACAATGACACGCTGTGCAAGTTAGGTCTCTCAGTTAATGATGGTGAAGGCCAAAGTTAGTAAAAGGTATCCGTAAAACTGCTAAGCAAATTCGTCCTTTAGAGCTCTAAAATCTGACAACTTGTTTCGGTTTCATGCTGTCATTGTCCTAATCGAAATATAAGATAAATCAGAAGCGTGAAAAAGGTTCAGGTTTACCTAAAACGCATAAATGAATGTGAAAAATAAAAGTTTCGTCACGTACGGTGACAGTTCGAGAAAAAAGTGTTTTTTACTAATAGACAGGTCCAGTGAAAAACAAGAATTCTTTTATTGAAAATCTTTGAATCTCTTTTACATAGTAATTTTATAAAATTATTATTATAAATTATTATAAATATTTATTATATAAATAAATAAATTCTTTCATTTCATTGAAGCGGCAGACAATCATATGCTTCGGCGATATCGCTGGTACAGGGGGAATAAAAAATCACATGACGAAATGGTTTGGTCAGAATAGGATGGTTTCACACCCAATCATTTTAAAGCGACCGATCTCTTTTTTCCTGAAATATGAAAGCATTTCACTCAAAATGGATCAGTCATCTCGATGGTACCTATGAAGTTCTATCACTGCGATCGAACAATGAAAAGGTTCCGTCCAAGAGACAGAACTAGTGAAGGTTCGGTCTGCATCCTTTTCTTTTTTAGTGGTTGTAGTATTGACTGCAGTTGAGCATGTGGACGATTTGACGATCAACCGTCTGCTAAAGACAGAGGTAGGCTTTTCAACGTAAGTGATATTAATCAATATTCTCGTCTCGTCAGGTGTATCACTGACTCAGTTTGAAGAAAGATATCAATTCTACCTCAGCCACAAAAACAGCTAAACCATGATGGTTTTTGTTGTTTTTGTGGCTGAGGTAGAATTTGATGGTATTATCCATTCAGTGCTCCACCAATCTGAGTGTTTATGTAGTCCGATGGATATCCACCTTTTGGTGAACTGAATGGCACATCACAGCACTGATCTTGTAAAATTTTGATACCATTTTATGCCATTTTGTTAATAATCCAGTGTTAAGTGGCGTTACGATAAATGGCCTTATAATAAATGTTATGAAGATTCCCATGCGTGGTGAAACGGATGATCGCTTAGTTAACGCGTCTAAGAACGGCACTCATTCTGCTCTATTTCACATGTAAATTAAATGCCCAGATAAGATATATGTCGCATCAACATGCCAAAGGTCTTTGTTTAATAAACTGACATAAAGTCCGACTGGAACCAGACGAGATTCGTTAATATCTGTTTGCTACAGTTAGAAGATACCGAAACTGACTTCGAAACTACTGTTTATCAACTGATCGAAAACGATTTATCTAACTCTTAAAATCGCTGCAACCGCTTCTAACGCTTACTTTCAGTTCATACAGGCTCGTTTAAACTATATCAGGTCACTCAGCAAACTGTTATAGACACTGAACAGTTATTTGTACGCATATAAGAGAAGACGAAGCCTATATGTTGTAGAAAAATCCGCTAATAAATAAAAGTTTTGATTCTCTGTCGTTGACCCAATAGAATATTCGAGTTCAGCACATCAAATTACCTATTGAAGACTATCTTTTAGTAGGAAATATATCACCATTGACGTTTTTCTAGTGAGTGGATTTTCAGAATCACGTCCCCTCCCCAATACGTTTTGTTCGCCAATTAGAAATTTAGCCCCTGAAGTTTTTATAGTAGAGTTAGTCCTAGGTCCATACTACCCAAAAATATGAGTGAAAACATTAATTTATAGACAGGTGATTTTTTACCGAATTTCAAACTTGATAAAAATGAACATTTTTGCGAAAACAATCTTCAAACCTAATCAACTGTTTTTACTTTTGCTATCATGTTGAAAAACACATTTTACTATAGGCTCTTTTTGCCTTATCAGTGTTTTTAAAATGCGTTCTCTATCTATGCATACATTTGAAGTTTTCCTACATATGGCAGTTTGATAAAAATACGAGCTCTTGGTTACTGGTCGTTATGGAGAAAACTACCCGATGCTGGAGGCGGATTTTTGGCAAAGGTGAACAATGTCGATCCTGATTCCGACCCTTTGGCAACATCTTAAAATATTTTAAAAAACATTTTCTTGATGAAAATCTTATGAACTTGATTTTGAAATAAGCTTCCAAGCTCGTCGATATGGTCATGTATAAAGTGGTCGATGAATCACCGGATAGTGACCTGTTGAGTCTGAGTTTCGACAGGATCTTTTTTCCAAATGAATAACAAAAATACCAGCAAATGAAAAGCCAGCCTACTAGTGATCCCAAGGATACTCCAATACGTTGACAATATAATTTGTCACTAAAGATGAAATGAGTATCGGAAGTAGCCACTTCATGTTGAACTGATCTTGACATGTTTTACACCAACTCTCTTTTCTTTCTATATGCATATATCTATATATGTGTAATTCGTTGAGTATGAACTTGATGGTGCATTGTGGAAAAGCTTTTGTGAAGAGGATGATAATGTCAAAGAAAGATAATTTTATTGTGGTCAAGTGGTACAGAATGTAATTCGTTAACAAAAGTGTATGCATTGTCGATGACAGTATTGTGTTTGCAGAGACGGTCGAGACGTTGTGCCAACATGTTGATTAAATTGTAACCGAATGCGCGGGATGCAGAAAAAATTGGTCACAGAGGCGGTCTCTGCTTGTGGGTCTTAGACAAGCTATAAAAAAGTTGCTTGTGAACCGATGGAACGACAACAGTTGTATTCATTAGATGAGGTGACGCGGAAGGTTGTGGACGGTAGGTATAATTATTCAGATATGTTGGCATTTATGTGAATAATTTAGTTTATGCGTTTAACTCTTTATCAGCAACTAGTATTTATTGTCCTACCTTTTCTTCTATCGTTTGAGAGGAAATATAAGACATATAGGTATCCACCAGAGATCCGCACAGGCTGAAAATTTTTGGCCCGGTCCCATCCGATGATGAAACTTTCTAAACCAAGCCCGGCTCGACCACTTTTTAAAATTTTCTGGTCTCAGGCGTGATTTCTTGCATCTATAATGCTGTCGCGCAACAGTGATAATACTCTTTCTTGGTACTGGATATACGCATAAATTACAAATCCACACATGATTAAAAATTCTGAGTTCGGCCCGGCCCGACCCACTCTATAAAATTTCTGGCCCGATCCGTGCTGATCTCTGGTATCCACTATATAAAGTTTACAAGTTACGTTGGTTGTTGTCATGGTAATTCCATTTTTTTGCTAAATTCAGCTGTCTCATTAGATTTGTTCTTTCCTTTCTCAGTGAAACTTTTGATAACCAGGATCTTGACTTCTTCAACTTTTTTAAGAAAGATCTTGACCAGAAAACGTAAAAGTTCAAGATACTTCAAGAAATAAAGATCTTGCTGACAAGAAGTATCTTTATAATTGCTAATGTTTGTTTCGTACAAATGTGTCTTATTTTTCAGGATGAAATTTTGGTACTTTCCTGTTGATATCAAATTTTTGTTTCAGAATACAAGCAGAAAAATTCCATTACACTATAATAAACCAGAACTATTGGAACCACAAATTAATTTCATACTAATAGAGACAGATGTTAGAATCAAGTTTCAATCGATTACTGATCTAATATTGTTAATATTGAACAAAATGAATTAACAGCATCGTTACTTTAGTGGAAAGTATCGTTATTTAATGATAGATTAATTGAGTTTACATTATGAATCAGTAAATAAAAATTATGAACCGCAGAAATTAAAACAGCTCATAAAACTTATTTCCATTTAACCAACGACAAGATGAATGCAAACACCACATGGTTAGGTGAAACGAATAAGCGTGATAATTTTCGTTCTTTAGAAACAGTACACCAGCCTACGAAACATTAAAACATTTTCTCTCACTGCAACGGTGTTTAGTTTCAATTTCTGAAAGGAATTTTATAAACACTTGATGATTTGATCAACTCTTTTCAATGTATCCACAATCGTTTAAGACAACTGGAGAGAATGACAAGAATTCTTATAATTGTCTTCATCTCGCGCCGTCTCGATATAATAAAAGGTACACAATTGGACGGCTTACTTCTATAAATATTTTCTTTTTTTCATTTTCAGTGTTTGTTTATAATTAAAATTGTTGCAGGTTACATATCCACTTCATTATTAAATGTTGTGCTAAGCTTTTTTTATTATAACACTATCAAAAAAAAGAAAGATACATGAAGAAATAAATCGAGTATTCATTCTAAGTCATGAAATCGTCTTGAAAAAATAACAGTATTCTTATAGATTCACGTAAGGTATTGTAATTCTCTTCAAAAATTCGAAAAACCCCGTCCTCTCTATGACATCTGTTCTGTAGTTCTTTGTATTCTCAGATAAAACGTGTCCTACATGATTCTTTGATAATATGTTGGAGAAATATTTCACAAGAAAGTAGATATAGTATGTAGATCATATTGCAGCTGAAATCTAGGAGGAATATGTCACGTAATGAACGACTCAACAACTGTCACCTATACTATCTTCTTATCTATTCCAGTTTACAGTGAAACAATGTTAATTTCTTCATATACACGAAATCATATTCTTCTATTATAAATGTAAATCTATTATTGCTTCTAAATACACTGTCGCCTACCGTTTTTTAGATAACTCAGTAAAAAAAAGAGGTAAGAAGTTTGGGACTTTGACGCATCTTTTCATAAGAAAATAAGTTTCGAAACCTCTTCCTGAACCAGTATTTTGAAAGGATTTTTAAAAAGATCTGGAATTTTTTCCATCTGTGAGAAATAACCTGTGGAAGCTCAAAAACAACTGGAACATAGGTTATCAACCGTGCTAAGTCTCTTAGTAATGTTTGTTTTCATTACAAATTCCAGAAAGCTAGCTAAAACCTATTTCTAGTGAAATTATCTATTTTGAGTCATTTTCATGAAAAACGAAAAAGTTCATAACTCATTCAGAATCGGATTAAAACGCTTCAGGTTTCAAAATATATTAGATTTTAGCCGCTCACACGTTGATATACATATAAATACGGTAAATTTAACGAAAATATCTTCTGGATCATACAGGATTTCTTAAAAACTTTGAAAGAACAAACATTTTCTTTTTCAATCATAACATCATTTAAATTGAACGTACCTTTAATTTGGCGCCCGATTCATGATTTTTCTCGTGCGTTGGAAAAGTGAAGGTGCGAAACAACCAATAGTAAATCCATATAATTTCTGAGGTGAATTAAGGGAACAGCGGAAAATTAGTGTAAGTGTATTAACAATGTAATAGATAGTTTTTGATATCGTACCAAAGTTTAGTGCGAATATTTGGTAAGTCGAATAAGTATACTTTAATAAATATAGTTCCTAGCTGATCAAATTTGTGGAATCAATATTCAAGCGATTATATTGAGGCAAATATACTGAAATATTGATTGTTGTTATTCGTCATAGTTAAATCAAGAGAATAGAGCATAACTTTTTGGTTTCTGGTAAAATTGTTATTATTTTTAGGCTTTCAATCTATATTATTACTTCATTAACACCACAAGCTGTTGCAGTAATGCTTGAGGAAGATCGTTTAAGATTCAGCTTTCGTGTATACTTCCACTACAAGTCAAATATTTGACTAATATCGCTATGATACTAGTTGATCCTTTATATTTCTCTAGCTAATCATATTGTTTGCATTTAATTTTTCACACCTTGAAAAAAAAATCGATCGACTCTGGTATTTCTTTTTCAGCAATACATTTTCTCGTAAGAGGTAGTGTAGTTAAACATTTGAAGTCATTTCAAATCTAAATTTTCAAAGGAAATTAGAGTCAATGACAGAGATTAAATGGACTTTCGTGTATGTGTATTATGAACCTGATCCGACTGAATAAACAATCATAAAAATACCGCTCTATAAACTATAACGTAATTTTCGAGATAAATGCCGATTAAAATTTTAGCGCCAGTCATTCTTATATCATCCAGAAGTCATTGGTAGGGAATTCCAATGCGCTCTAATGAAGCTTTCCGTTGGCAATTGACTATGATTGAATAACCAGCATAAAGTATGTGAATTGATCGAGTTTCGGTAGAGAAATGAACAACGACTTTAATATCATTAATAGCAAAATATGTGTATCTCTGTTATCTCTATGATGAAATGTCAAAAGCATTTACGATGAACAATTGAAGCACCACTATCGTCATATTCTTGTTTTGTTATCCATTGATGCTGAAAGGTTGATAGTGATGCTAATACACTTCCACCAATCCATACCGAATATTTTCGTTGTGGCGGAGCAATGATGCGAATTTTTACACTAGACGGCGCTTTACATGATAATTCTTTTTGAAGTCGCTCGACCATTCCAGGAAACATCGTACTTCCTTTTAAGTAAAGCAGAAAATAGATAAAATGCATATAGCAGATGAATAGTTAAATATGTACCTCCCGATAACACCATACTTGAGAATAGTTCTCTTCTTATATCAATGTCACATTGCATTACTGAACTGAATGCGGCTTCATGAATTCCACGACCTTCCATACCTAAAAAAACTAAATTGAAGTTTCGAAATTAAAAAAAAGCCTGAGGAATGTACCAATTAGACTTGGTTTAAACAAAATTTCAGCGCAACGAAATCGCTCCGTGCCCACAGTGACTGTTTGACCATCGGGCAATTTGTATTGCATATCAAGATTTGCTGCGTTCAATTCGACAGGATAATCAGATGCAACGTAAGCCAGTGTCTCTTTAATATCACGTACAATTTCTCGTTCCGCTGTAATTTAGAAATTCAATTAGAATTTGAATTTCATCAGACAATTAGTCGATTTACCTGTTGTATCGAAACTGTGACCACGTTCTTTTAAAATTTTTGTCAAATGATCAGTAATATCTCGTCCAGCTAAATCCATTCTTTCTAAAATCGATAATTGTACAAAAAATATTGATGAGCGAAAGTGACAAATACTTACCAATAGCATGTGGCATTGCATATCCCTTTCAGTGATAAAAAAACGATATAACAATTTTGTAATAATACTCTTTTTCTAACTATTACCTCAAAAATTGGTACGATATGTGTAACGCCATCACCACTATCTAACACAAGACCTACAAAAGGAAGATCGAACACAATGTATAATAGAATAAAATGGACAGAGAAAAGGAGAAAAGACCTGTTGTTCTTCCTGTGGAATATAATGACAAAATAGCTTGAATTGCAACGTAAACGGCTGGAACACCGAACGTTTCGAACATAATCTAAAACACCATTATATTTATATCAGACATATTTCACATTTACATATGTACTTGAGCCATTTTTTCTCTGTTAATTTTTGGATTCAGTGCTGCTTCTGTAATTAGGCATGAATGTTCTTCTGGTGCTATACGCAATTCATTGTAGAATGTATGAGACCATACACGTTCCATATCTTCCCAATTTGTAACAACACCATGCTCAATAGGATATTGTAACGTTAATATACCTCGACGATTTTGTGCATCTTCTCCAACGTATGCTTCTTTTGTACTAGCACCTAGCATAACACCATGATGACGTGGACGACCAACTAGAGCAGGAAATGCTGATCTTGGCGAATCTTCCCCTGAAAATCCTGCTTTACAAACACCTATAGAACGAAATATTATTTCTTTAACGACTAAGCAACTGGCGCTTTATCAACAATATTACCAACCTGTACCATTGTCAATGATCACTGCGGCATAGGATTCTGTCATAATATTAGAAAACCTTCGAAAAATAGAATAGTAGAGATTCACTCTTTTCTTTGTAAAAAGAATTTTGTACTATGCAATAATTAATTACTGATAAAAACATAAAATTGTAAAAAAAAAAGATCTAATATACATGTAATATCAATATTGAACTTACCTGGATACAATTAATTGAAATTAAAAAATCGATGGTTGATTAAATGGGTTTAACAAAGTATTTTATAATGAAAAACAACAATAATGTCTTTCTGCTAGATAAAAACTGGTTGTCATGCAATTTTGTATACGATAAACCATAGAAAAATAAAAAAGCTCTAGTGATATCCAAGACTATCTTAATCATATTTGCAAAATTTTCCTTGTTGCTAGTCAATATACTAGTGTTGAACAGAAGCTTAAAAATAAAAAAATAATAATAAAATATTTGGAAACAATTGTTACTTCTAATATTTGAGACATAAATGTGTACATATTTTCAACATCGTTTGTTATTTTCAGTAGAATCAATAAGAATATAGGAATGTTAAAGATCTCTGACATCATGGTCTGTATCATATTCTTTTTTATTTACAAATATTTGACAATTGAGAAAAGTTTCCAATTTTTAGTTGCCTGAATCCAAATAAATATTCATCAAAACTTTTTTCCATATCAACGAGATAATAATAATTGATTTCCTTTGATTAATAATTTTTAAGATTAACAGATTATTAATTTTTCGGAGTATACGAAAACTTTCAAAATGGATATTGAATGAAGGTATAGTGATGTAGTATCTCAGTTCCAGTAGGCGGAATTTATTATTCAGTAATATACAAAACACAAAAAAACAGTTGAAAATATAGTATATAATTTTGAACGACAAGAACAAGCACTAACATGCTAGCAGAAAGATGGACAGATTTTAATAAATAACAAAATTATTGCATAAATAAACAAAGCGCACCTCTTAAAAATCATTTTTCAAGATTCATACTTGATTATTTATGATTGTGGAAGCTCTTTCTAATTAAGTTTAAATGGAATTTTCACACAGATCACTCTAGATAAAGCCTATCGTATAATCAAAAAGAAGCTCAATTCGTTGCATGATGATGGTGCTGTTGTGCAACTAAGCGAATATTACTAAGAGAAAAGAGTGAGAGAGAGAGATTATATACCTGTTTAGGCATAGATTAAACTAAAATAAATAAAAAAACAAATATTTGAAGATTATGTGACGGGTTGAAACCGCTGTAGATAAGACTGACAATTAGAACAATACTCAAAACCATTTTTCACACACCGTTTATGACATAAATTACATTCAGTTAAATTAACATCATCATCAATTAACTGATTATCAGAATCGGAACTGGGTGAATGTAATGGTTGAATGGTTAGCTGTTTTGTATTCAATAAAATATTTTTATCACGTAAAAATGAGTCGATTAAATGTTCCGATCGTTCCTCAGCGTAATCGGTGGTGGTCACAATTAATGCAACATTATCGTTGAATTTCACACTTTTTTTTATTTTTTTCACTGCTGAAGTTGGATTCGATAATATAGATGTCGTTTTTAAAACATTATTATCATAAATAACTTCAGCGTTATTTGATATTCCATCAAGATCAGTTTCATACCAAATTTTACTATTATTATTCACCGGTAGTCGTTGAATATTATTTGATTTGAACGTAGACGTTGAGTTTAACGATGTGCTAGTATGACGATCAATTTGACTGATTGGCGTCGATTTTTCATATGAAGTAGCACTAAAATAAAAGCATAAAATTATGCTGTAAAATGGAAGAATTTGATAAATGAATATATATGTACCTCATATAATCTTTGTGTTTACCATATTGTTCATTATCATTTAGTGAAATACGTTTTTGTAACGATCTTATTCGTAATATAAGACTATTTTTTTTTGTTCGAGCATAAATTATTGTTCCATTATCGATTTTATCATAATTCAATAGATTTTCTAATAATATCAACGCTTTATTACATGCCATCAATGAATTAGAGTATGCACTCATACTCTCTTGTTTTAATGATTCTTCAAAATTTCGTTCGATATCCAGAATAGCTGAATCACAATAATTCTCTACAAAACAATAAAAAAAATAGTATAATATCAGATTCAATTTGTATAACCAAAAGAAATCATACATACTTGAGCTATCTTTATACATATCTTTTGTATTCATTATTCTTTCATTAGCACCAATAAGTCGATGTGGATAAAGAACGGAGTCTTTCGATCGTCCATAACTTGTATTATTATTATGTACATCATTTTCTGCCAGACTATCACGTGGACTATTCTGATTTGATAAATCGGCATCAGCACTAATACCTGAAAATATAAGTAAAAAAATATTGTCAACTAATTTCTTCTCCATTAGTGTAAACTCAATATTACCAGAGTCTCGATTTGTTGAATTACAACTACTTGTTTCATCTTGTTGAGCAATTGTTGTTTTTGAATATATAGTGGATGATAGACTATGAATACTTGATGTATCACCATCATTATTTGTTAATAACAGACTTTTGAGTCGATGTTGCTGTTGTAACACTTTTGCTACAACTGATTGATTAATATAATTAGACGATTTTGTTATTGATTCTTGTTGAACAACGGGTAAAAATAACATGTTTGAATCAAGCGAAGCAAATGGAACGGATTGAGGTGGAGATGATGATGTAAGATTTTCTAATGATTGACATTCTCGTTTTAATTTTCCACGTGTTTTTAAAAATTTTGTTGTAGAATTTTTATTTTTCGATGTTGACAACATTGGACTACTCGTTTTTGAACGAACAGAATGATTAAATTGAACTGATCGTTCGTCGTCTTTAGATGAATATTTCGATTGTTTTGAACTTAGTGGTAGATCAACATCATCATCATGTACTAAAAATAAGAGAGAAAATTGTTTTTCTTCTTTCTCTTTTTTCTTATATAACATGTATTATGCTCTTATTATGAGATAAATGACAAAAGTGTTCATCGTAAGCAAGGCAGTTGAAACCGACTTCTTTTCTTTTCCTTTTTTTTTTATGAACGTATATAGAATAAAGAAAAAACAGAACAATTAATATAAGTCTACAATCTTCACCACCACCAATAACAACAGTGGTGTATATGTTCAATAATCAATCAGACACAAATTTACGCAAGCATTGAAATATACACACATAATAATAGATTTTCATCTGTATGTAGGCACGATAGAGAAAAGATTAAAAAAAAAACAATAACATTGAGTTCACCTATATGCTCGATTAAGACAAACGTTCAATTATATCAGAGTGAGAACTACTCATGTATGAATATAATAACTGCATCTTCATGCAGAAAATTGCATCTTGTTATTGAACATTAGACACTATGGATAAATTTTATTCTTCAGAAAAACATATTCTAACAAGATCAAGTTAATGCATCGTTCTCTTACCTTTTTGTATTTGAGATGATGTTTGTAATATTGTACGTTTTAACATTTTGCTTATGTCGATTGTATCCGTTTTTGAATTAGCATAGATCATTAGAAATGGTTGAAGATGAAAATCAAGCATTTTTGATATGACAGCATTCCAATCTGATGATATCTAGATAAATAACAAATATTTTAAGATTTTTTTCTGTTGTTGATTTGTTATACGTACAACTGTAACATTTCCATCAAATGCGTACAACCATCGTGATGTTTTTTTATCATAGGAAAATAATACTTCGATATCGCCATAATAGCATACTAAACCAATTAAATTCAACTGTTTTTGAACATTTTTACTTGCGTCATGTATCAGATCATGAAACAGCTAAAGCAAACAAAATCACTAGTTTTTGATAAGGAAAAAGATATAAGTATCTTACATCTTTCAAAAATATAAATGGATCAATGGCAGTAACAAATTGTTCAACATCTTGTGTAGTACATTGTTCAAAATTCCACTCAACAACGACAGATACTAGAAAAAATAATCGGAATAGTAGCACCATGACCTCTCTTTATTAACAAAACATACTTAAATCTGGTGAATTTGTTAATAGACAAACGTTTCCTTCATATTGGCCACAGTTTCTCTAAAAAAAAAAAAATACAGATTTGATATTAGATATAGAACATAATGAAATAAACATTTTTTCATACATGGCATGGTTTTGGATCAAATTTAGTGTTCGATGAAAGTGAAAGTATTTGTCCAAATGGTTTTGTTATTCGTTTATGCTCAATTTGTTTAGCAATATTACTAAAATTCAGAGAAACATGTGTTAATTGTACATCGATGTGACGAGCTAATAATCTAAATAAAGATGATTTTTATAATTTCTAAAAGACTATAATTTCTCTCTTATGTATGAAATGACAAGATATTAGTTAATAATTGGTAAGTTCACATGTGCCATTTATAACATTAGATTATCAACAGCTTCTCACTTTCATTCTTATCATATGTACAGCTGCTACTAATTTCTTACCATACGGTTGTTGCATTTACTTGATAAACCGATTGTGTGGTCATTGTGCCATTAGTTTGTGTTTGATGAGATACACAATGTGGATTAACACACAAACGCTGAATATAAGAAAAATAAGAAATTTTATTTATTAAAAATTTCTAATAAAAACGTACCACTTGTATAACATTCATTGATACTTTTGTATGTTGGTGATAGATCTATATGAAAAAAAAAGAACGTTATACTTTTTCGGCAAAACATCAAAAGAAGAGAGAGATGAACATGAAAAACTAATTATGAAAGAAAATTGTTTATTGTTTTTATTTTTTCGAGGGAACACCAACGGTCAAACAATAAATATTATCAGCAAACAAATGTCGTTCGTTTATAAGACAAACATCTTTGACCTTTTGACGAACAAATGTTTGCTTATCAATTCCACTGAGCGTTTGTGTTTATTTTGGAAAGATAAAACAAAAAAAGAAATGAGTAAATTAAATAATTAACAAATAAAATCAAGTCTGTAAATTTCCTCAAACTGA